GGGRRAAAAAAAACTAATACAGTATTAAAGTATCAGATAGTAAAACAATTACAAAGTTAAAGTAATTAAGGTCCTGATATGCTGACATAYGAATAAATAAATAAATAGATGAGTTGAATATAATTAAAATGAAACTAAATCCGAGTAGTTTATTAGATATTTACAGTGATTTAAATGCAGAAACTAGAAGAGTTATGGGGGTGGAAGATATTCAACAAATGACTAAGACAACTCTGTAGATACCTGGGGGAAACACTGAAGTTATACCTTACAATTTACAATCAAATATATTCCACATAATCAAAATATAAATTAAAATACAGAAGTATAATCTCACATATAAAACTCTTTTACTAAAAATTACTCAAAAATACTGAATCTATGTGGCATAAACTACCACAAACCCAAAATGCAAACTAGAAACACATAACTGTAGCTCATATCATACAGAATCTGCCTCCACATCATGTTTGTGCACACAGTATCAGATAACAGGGTCGGTTGCTAAAAGAGACTCCCCTGACTCAGAATGAGAGCGTTCATAAATCTAGTTTATTATAAGGTAAGGACACAACAATATCACAAAAGTAAACATATATATTAGCCAAAGTCTGTCTCATCAGAAGGATCCTGGAGAGGTGGCACCTTTTCCTGACTCTGAAAGTGTCCTGTGAGGACACAGTTTCCCTCCTGGATCTGAATCACTGACATGTATATAGGGTATGTTGGTCCTAAGGAACTCAAAATGGAGCCTCACTTGGGGATTATTATATTTTGCTGATCACAAAGGCAAAACTTTGCTGAGGCTAAGTAACCTGGCTCAGCACCACAATTCTTTCATGGTCTCATTATAACCAAGGACAAATCACATATTATACTGTCATCAATAAACAATGCTGACAAGATAGTATAATCTGGTCCCCTAATTCCTGGACTCTTGGTTATAAAAGTACACTAGTAATCAGTATGTTTCATGCCTTTTCTGAAGGTCAGTGCCATTGTGAACTTATAAAACACTGCTCAGGCTGATTTGGGGCTTCCTGGAACTATTTCTCAAAGCACAATAAAAAAATAAAAGACTAGAAACTCAACAGGGAAAAAATCACAAAGGATATAATCATACATTTCATACAAAGGAAAATACATCTGACTTTATGCATGTAAAAAGAACTTTAACTTCAAACATAAAGAGATAACTACAYATTTACATATTTCTATACATGTGTAAATTCATAATATGGATGGTAATTTGGAAATATCTAATACAATTTAAATGTCCACAAATTTTGACCTTATCTTAAAAATACACTTGCACATGTAAAGTGATGTAAGACTAAGATTCTTTATGCAATAATGCTTTTTGCCATACAAGAAAAATTACAAATCACCTAAAAGGCAATAGAAAAATATGGGATATTCACATGATGAAATCTTACAGGTATGATGAAAGAGTAACAGAAAGTTCTTGATGTGTCATTATAGAACTAGAACCAAAGTATATAAGTTCTTACCTTAGGTACATATATGAGTGCACATATAGTGCGATGCTGCTACATCGTGTACAATCAAAGAAATGAAAAGTTGTGCTGCAATTGTGTACGATGAATCAAAATGCATTCTGTTGTMATATGTATATGTACCTAATTAAAATAAATAAATTTTAAAAATATATATTTAAAGTAATAAAAGGTACAACATCATGTAAATAGATTGTCACCGTTTGTATAAAGGGGAGAAGAGTATTTTATATTCATTGGTTTGTCAAATTAAAAATATCTTCAGAAAAATAAAGAAGAAATTGATAAACTCATCTGCTCTTAGTGAAACTGGGTAGTTTGAAAAAAAAAAAACATGGATAGCAATATAGCTTTTTGCTCTGCATCCCTTGAAACATTTGATTCTTTTTATAGTAATTACTTAATCATAGTAAGTGTAGTAATTAATGGGTTTCACTGTGGCATTTCCATGAGTACACATATTATGCTTTGATTATATTCACCCTCCCTACTACTCTTTCTTTTCCTTCCTTCTTTTCCATTTTACCTTATTCCTCCACTTCTTCAATAATCCATCTTCTATTTTCTTGTCATTTTTGTTCATTTCTACATATGAGAGAAAACATGGTATACTTAATCTTTGTGTGTCTAGCTAATTTTAACATTTGATTCTTGAAAAATGTGAATTTTAAATTTTTCAGAAATCTAAAATAATGCATATTCAAGTCTCAAAACTTATCAGTAATTTAGAGCTTTCTTTAGTCTGTGTTGAARGATTACTTGGTTATAAGATTTCAGTATTTTGGTAGGAATGAGTATTCTTGTCTGTAGTTTTCCAGGTATCTACCATCTCAATGCAGCAGCAAGAAAAACTCATCCACCAGGAAAGAGCATTGTTGAACTTTACGCAATGGAAGAGAAACCATGACCTTCAGATGAAATGTTGTCAAACCTTGATGCAAAATTCTTTCAGTTTGGGTAATTGATATAAGATCAGTTATTTTCAGTAGAAATCCAAATGCATGCACTAACTCCTCAGRAAAAAAACAATGATATATTTTATTCTCTGCAAAATTGTTCTTCAGAATTTTATAGTAGGGGGACATGATTTTGATGCTTTTTACTCTTATCTACTTCAATAGTATACGGAAAACACTAAGGTTTCAAAAAGAAAATGCAGCTAAACAAGAGTTCTGGAAGTTTAAGTATCTTTTCTCCTGTAAAACTGTGCCAGATCTCTTGGTCAAATTTTTGCTCTTTGTTCTACTTTATGCAGTTGATCTTCTTTTTGTGAATACATTCTTTCTTAAAACAAATTCCTTCAAACGTTGAATACTAATGCTTACCTTTTAGTTACGTCGAAGTCCTAAAATAAGCATACTGTTCATTTACATCCTTCTTCCATTTTCTTCACCTACATGTTTTCAAATAATTCCTGAAGTTGTACTGTTTGTTCTGTTAGACATGAAATATTTCTTGCTTAACTCTCAGAATCTGAACATGAACTCAAGGCTTACTATTCAATTCATCTAGTTATTCAGTACACTTCAGGTTAAATTTGAGCAGTAAGATTAACAGGCCTGAGATAATAAGTGAACAAGAAAAGATTGTAAATATTGTAAAATCAAAGAAAGGAAAAGATTGATAAAACTGAGAAAATCATATCAATTTTTATAGAAGAGGAAATATTTGGGTAAAAATGTCTCCAAATTACTCTTAAATAAACCAACTCTTAGAGACCTATTGTAGGTCAAAAGTATTATATAAATCTTACGGTTCTCAGTATCAGAAAAACTGGAATTGCTAAGTGCTACACATGGGAATGGCTAAGTGCTGCACATGGTTTTAGTGTTTGGTTTTCCTGGAGGTGACAGAGGGTTAGTCCGGGGAGATATTCTACTAATTTTTACAGTGGTGACAATAATGTGAAATGTTTCTATTCAAAGCCTGTAACTGCAGTCCTTGTTCSGACAACTGGATTCAGAATGGAAAGAGTTGTTACTATGTCTATGATATTTGGAAAAGTTGGCCAGCCAGCAAAGAGGCTTGTTTGAAAGAGGGCTCCAGTCTTCTACAAATAGACAGCAAAGAAGAAATGGTAAATTCAGCTTTATGGTTACATGTCACTCTGAAAATACTATGTTACTTATTAAAAGAAAGAAGATTCTCCTAAGTTAGAATTCTTTAATATTTATAATAGTTTATAAAATGTATAAAAATAAGTACTTATAAAAATAAATTTATAAAAATAAATACTTAAAAGATATAAAGTAGGAATTACTATGTTTTATTTTCCTTTTAATGGGAAAAGCAAAAATCAGGTTGCTTTTCCAGAAGTCAAGGAGAGTATATTAGTTCTATGTCTTTGGTTAATGAAAAAGAAAAGGAAAAGACTAGAGCATAAGAAAAACAGTCTTCCTTGACATGTAGCCCACTTCAACATACACATACATGATTATTGCATATATTTTCCAATGTATTTTTCCATGCTATAGATAAATAGAATAATTTGGAAAACCAGAAGTATAAAATACTGAGGTGATGTCATGAAATGAATAGGTCTAATTAAACCAAGTATTTGGTAAATGAAATGTTAAATTGGTATTAAACATAGTTCAGTAATATTTTAACAAGTGAACAAGATATTTCTCTAAAATCATTCTACATATAAATATATATGAAACARAATGCATAATTACAACATATCTTTTACTACATTAAAAACGTATTCTGACTATATTCAGTAATTAGTTGAAGCTCATTTCTATAAGAATAGTGAGAAAACAATGTGTTAAGGATATATGGTAAGGTAGGAAGGCTTGAACTATTATAATTATGGGTATACAAAATTATTTTCTGTGTAAATTTGATGATGAAAGTTATAAATGTTTTTTTAACAAAATATATTTGCAGTTACATTGCTTCTGGAATCTCCTAAACTATTGGTAATATTGAAGTATACTAGAAAAGAGTGATCCACGTGTCATATGATATAAAAAATATTTTTATATCTGCTTATGAGGGGTCAGTATAACCTACCCCCTTCCTTTTTTTTGTTGACATCTATTGTCAGACTCTGAATCCATTCATTAAAATTACTTTAATATCAAATGCCTTTTTCCCATTGTCTTTAATACTACATTGGCCATACAGAAACAGAAGAAAAATCTATAAGATGTATCCCCACTTTTTGTTTGTTTTGTTTTTTTAAATAACCCCCTCTCTTTTTCTTCAGCACTAAAGTTACCATTTATTTCCAGCTAGGCAAAATATCAGAATTCATACTTCATGATAGTTTTATTCGTGGTTTACTTTTTTCTTGGTTCACGTTCAGATCTTGTCTCTCATAGGTTTTTATCACCAAAAACTTGCAGAAGCTCAAAGTAGGCTATGCGTACTGGGTGGAAATATCTCAGGATGGACTTCAGGCACCTTTGCTTTGGCAAGATGACTCCTCTCCTTCCCCTGACCTGTAAGTCTCAGAGGAAAATGTTGTGAGAATAACTAGAAAGATGAGGCAATTCAAAGGTTAATTTTATTGTGCACACTGGATTCCCTTCAGGAGACATATCAGCATTTCAACATCACAGGCTCCTGATTGAAATTAAAGCTAATGTCATGAAGAGGTAGTTTCACAGCTTCTAAATCTTCTTCTCAGCCCTCCGAACATTATCCTACGAAAATAAACCAAAATATGAGTGTCTAAATGAGCAATATAACATAATTATCAAGTGCATTTTCTCTGTATCACTTAATGTTTAGAGAGCACTAAGGGAAACAGATTGTAATAATTATTAAGCAATTATCATATTGAACTTTTCAGATAGAACTAGAGAGACTGGTGAGCAGAATCAAGTACCCTACTACCTTGAGAATTAAGAGTCAGGAGACATATACTATCTACCACCTATCTTTGTGTATACATGGCTTCCTTTTCTTCATAAACTGTTAAAATTGCATTAACATATTTTTATGGAGACAAAACTGCTGCTGTTGAAGGAGGAGGATAAAACCACCACAGGAGGGTGCCATATTAAAACAAAAAGGCCTCTCTCATGTGCTAACCTCAAAAGCATCCTTGTCACACTCCCATCTAACCTCAGATATGCTGACTTGCCTTTCCAGGTTACCAACAAAGAGACCCCAGTCAACCAACCAGCTCTGCAGATTCCTCAAAGACAATGTCCTTTTGTCAGATAACTGTAACAAATGGAAATATTTTATCTGTGAGAAGTGCTCATTAAGATGCTCTATCTGAAAGAAATTGCTCAAAAAGATCTATAATGCTGGTATTTGAAACAGGCCATTGAAAAACCTGCCACAAAAAGACTAAGAGCAAATACAGAAGTAAACCAGTGTATGGCCTTTGAAATCAGCTTCCTGGAAATCAACCCTTCCTTTCATATTTTCACTTGGAAATGTCTTCAACAATTTGAAGATTTCAGTTGACATTGTTCAAATTGCCAATAAATTGATTGGAACCACAGAGGACCAGACACTGATGCTCTGTGAACAAACAAGAACACAATTTCCTTCCCTCCCTCCCTCTTTCTCTTTTCTTTCTTCCCTTCCCTTCCCTTATCCTCTCTTTTCCTCTCCTCTCCTCTCCTCTCCTCCTCTCCTCTCCTCTCCTCTCCTCTCCTCTCCTCTCCTCTCCTCTCAGGGACACTGAGAAAATAAAATTTGTCTGTAAATTGTCAGTGACTACTTGGAGAGGATATGTTTGAAAGTCAATTAATCCTCTTCAAATAAAATTCTCCTCTATATTCAGTCTCCTCTCCTCTCCTTTCCTCTTCTCTCTCTCTCTTTCTCTCTCTCTCTCTTTCAGATAGAACTAGGAGAGTCTCTCTCTCTCTCTCTCTCTCTCTCTCTCTCTCTCTCTCTCTCTCTCTTCTTTCGTCCAGAGACAGTATAAATATCACACAGAAATCAATATGTGATTGGAGGAGATGGTCCAGTTATAACTGATTGATTTTTTAAAATAAATAAATAAATTTAAAGCTTGCAGCCTGCCAAATCTTCCTATGCATTTTCTAAGCTTCAGGCATTATGTTGTTGGATTGACAGAGTAAAGGGAAAGACATATGGATTTCCAAATTGGAATTGAGGGGAAAAGGCTTTTCTCTGCAGTATCACTGTACTCTTTTTCAGGACTGCAGAGTTCCATGGAGAAGTGAACCCCTAGAACTTGCCAGCATCGGTTACCCAGTGAAGGAAAGCTGTGAGCTTCCTGACTCCCTCTGAGTACAGTCCCACCACTCACAAATCGAAGGGCTCATGTCTGYCCCCCCCAGATTAACATACCGGTACTTTTAACTGTATTTCTCAATGCCCCAAATTCTCCATCAAAAAATAATAATTGGATTTACTTTTAAAATTGTTGGAAGACTAAATCATAAATATATGTAAATTGTTGTGAATGGTGTCCTATAGAGTTGGACACTGTATCAGTGCTTGCTATTGTTATCTGGAGAAAGCCACCAGCCACTTCTAGATATCAACCTCTATGTGTATGCTGGGCAAAACAGTCTATTTTCCTGCTAATGTTGCAGGGCCATTGAGAAAATAAAATTTGTCTGTAAATTGTCAGTAACTACTTGGAAAGAATATCTGTTTTAAAGTCAATTAATCCTCTTCAAATAAAATTCCCCTTATATTCAATCTAAACCACTGTGCTAGGAACGTGGGCTCCCTGAAACATCTGTCTTATTTTCAAGAGACTGTTGATATATAAATACCTCATCATCTTCAGGAAGGAAATATTAATTATTTGTATATTATCTTTCTCCCACTCGCCATCCCTAGAATAGCACCTTGGCACATAGGAGGTTTTCACTAAATATTTGCTAAATTCAATATAATTTCTAATCCTTCATTTTTCATAAGAAGTAGCCAAGATACATTTAATTTTCATATTTTCTCCTTAAAATAAAGGCATTATTTAAATAAAGTAAAAATAAACCCTAATTCACTGAGGCAGTGGAAATCATTTAAATAAAAATAAAATTTCTGATACTTAAAGGTCTTTTTATAATGGGAAAACCTTGGAAGAATTGGAAGAACATGTCCTCATTTTTTGGTTTTGTTTTTTGTTTGTTTTATTTACCTTTGACCTGGAGTTTAATGGTGGAAGTATCAACAAAAGGAATTTTCTCTAGTTTTCTGCTGATGCCCCAGAACCATATAAGTTTTCTCCTGTGTTTGGTTATCACAACTGGCAGCTGGCCGCTAAATATAATAACCTGGAATAAAGGAGAAACAATAGCGATTTTCAGTGGTAAAGACTGTTTGTCTTAAAGAATCTTCAAAGTATTGTCACAGAGCTATGTTTAGAGAAAGGATAGGAAGCATTTACAATTCTCCTTAGAAAAAGTACAGTGAAACAAAAGGCAAACATCCTCCAGCTGATGTTATCCAGCTAGTATATGATGCTGTATTTACAAGTTAGAATTTTATCTACACTGCAGTTGACGTACGCTCCTAAACGTCTCCTCAGTAGCAACCCTGCCTCCACACAGATGGCAATGTGGAAGAGTTTTCCCTGCAGGTTGCTTTTTGTCCAGGATACCAAGGCTTCTTAAAGATGTTAGCACAGAGATAACCAATTTTATATCCTAGTTCACCAGTGATGAATTGGGTCTCTGATTCATCTCATGGAGTTTTTTGTTTGTTTGTTTGTTTTGTTTTTGTTTTTAGGAAAAAAGATCTGTTCTACAAATGTAAACAGGCTTTGTCACGAGGTATTAATAAAGTGTACTAAATATATTTTTAAAACACATTGAAATAATTAGTAGAATAATAATAGGTGCACCTAGAATCTGAGAAAATCTCTTAATAAAATGAGCCTTGTACAAAAGTCATATACCATTTAAGTAAGATTTTTCTGCTTTTTGTACCTTTTGGAAACCACAAGAATCTCTCTACAGAGGAAGTAACTCCCAAATTTTAAGACTGCTCCTGAGACAACCTGTTAAACCCTTGTGCTTGGTTCACAATCTTCTTGGATCCCCCAAATAAAATCTGCCCATCATCCTTCTTGAACTTCCTGCTATTCCAGGGCTCCTGACCTGTTTCCTGTTGATAAGTTCTAAGTACTGGTTCAATATCCTCAGGAAAAGGAATAACTCATTGTGTACCCTAGGGAACTCAGCTCTACCAGGAAAGGCTGTGTTCTTGTTTGACTTTTCCTGCAATTTCTTCAGAATTACATACTCACAACCTAGAAGGAAAAACATCTTATGCTGAAAAACCAATTAAGATGAGGTCCCAATCTGACAATCAACTGAAAGTTGTTCTCTGCAAATCATATTTTCAAATTCATCTTGTGATTATTTTCTACTCTTAAAAAAATTTTAAGTGTGTGGAGAAAACATTGTGCCATAATGTTTTTGTTCTGAAATGTTCGTTCATAATGCAATCAATATTGTGTTTTTTGTTAGACCAGGGGATTGAGGGCAAAGATGAAGAAGAATAGTTCAGGGAAAGAAAGTATGTCAAAAGAATTCTCTTTTTCCTCCTCACTATCTACAAAGACCTCTCCGTTAGGTCCAATATTGGTAGTGAAGACACTGGTCACCTTTCACTCTTCAGGCAGCTAGACTCTTAAAAAAATGGCAGTTAAAGAGACATTATCATTCATCCCTGAGCACAGAATGCCAGGAGTCGATACTTAAATGAGTATTATATCCCTACTTTATAATTTAGTCCATAAATTTATTTGACTTTTTCATTTTAACTGGATTTTCTTTGCAGCAGTAAGATTTAAATAATGGTTGCTTAACAACACACCTAATTCTCATTTCTTTTTTTAAATTTTTTTTTTGGTAGTTATAGATGGACACAATATCTGTATTTTATTTCTATATCTTTATGTGGTGCTGAGGATTGAACTCAGGGCCTCACACATGCTAGGGAAATGCTCTACCACTGAGCTACAAACTTAGCCCCTCATTTCTTCTTCTATACATATTATATTAGCCACTTTCATTGAACATTGCATTTATCATATAAAATATTTGATAATATCCTCAAAGTAGTTATCTCTACTTTTTGTTTATGAATATAGTTCACCAAAGAAAGTTGTTTCTGCATGTTTGTGCTCTCTTATGCTTAAAAATGAATTACTAAGTCTTTTAAAATATTTTGTAAGTTTTTTTTCCATTTTATATTACAATTTAGGTTGTGAAATTAATTTCACAGTTACCTTATTTTAACAAACAGTAGCATCATGAGGAACTTACAAATATTTCTACTTTAAACTTAATGAAATCAGCTCCATGAAGTAAAATGATTAGCCCATAAGATAATTCAGAATAATAAGTCTAAAACTCTCATTTTCTAACCACAAATGCAGTTCTCTCTGTATGACACAGGATATCAACACAAAATTTGTGCAGCACTGAAGACATTTCCTAGCTAGCTAACCAGAAGAAAATTAAAAGAGTCCTCAAGGAAGAATCTGCAAGTAGTACAGATAAAGTAACAATCTTACCAAATACAGTCTTACAAAAAGGAACACTGCAAGAGTTTTTTCATCACATGATTGCTAACTGAATGTAATTTCCCCATGAAATACATGTTTACTGAAAATAAAAGCAAAGCACCCTGGTTTTCACTGTTGAAAAATGAAGATTTATAATCTTTCATGGATGATCCTTTCTAATATTAAACCCCTAAAACTGATGAATCTATAACCAATAAAGTCAGTAGTCATGACAGTTTTATTCACAGAGACCCCTGTTATGGTTGTGCATAACAGCCATCTTGAGAAAGACTCTATCTAGTCTAAAATTCAGCTCTGCAGTTTGTCAGTCTCTTTCACTTTCCATGACCTGACTGGAAATCATGTGGTCTATTGCAAAGCAGTTTACTCACCAGTCATGTGTTGATGTCATAATTTTGCTTCAATATCTCATTTTAGGAAAATATTAAAACCTTCTCCTTGAAGATAATATGTATTTCAAAGGCTTGGATTTTTCCATAAATAATCACATAAGCAGAGTCCTCATAAACTCTCAGTAAGGCACAATCAAAACAATGATTATTATCATACTCTGAAAGAATTCTCATGCTTAATTTTTCCCCAAATCACAAATCCATTCTAAAATCACACACACTTTACATTATTTATATTTATTATTATTAATTCTTCAGTACCTGAATGGTATAAAAATGGATCAAATGGGAGAAAATAATAACTGATACCGAATTATTTCTGGTGCACATAAGAGAGGTTGTTTTCTTTTTCTTTTTCTTTTTTTCTCTTCCTGGTCTTCAGTCTCTCTGAAGCGGGTATCAAGGGCAGTGATTCTATGTAAATGGGATTTGAGAAATTCTTAGGAAAAAGAAACAACTATTGGAGTATTAATGGGTATGCAGAGGTATGTTTATAAGAAGTTAAGATTCTCACAAAAGGAGTTGTTTCASCTGTTTCAGATGCAGTCTTTATCGACAGATTGGAAAAGGAAAAGTGTAAACCGAAGAAGAACAAAAAGAATTAGTCATGCACTTAGAAGCACAGGATGG